AGACCTTGTTTCCCCTACCGCCCCCCAGGATAACAAGGAATAAAGGCCACAAGTTGTTGGAGAGTAGGTTTAGATTAGACATCTGTAAGAACTACTTCACAGTTAGGGCGGCTAGGATCTGGAACCAACTTCCAAGGGAAGTGGTGCTGGCTCCTACCCTGGGGGTCTTTAAGAAGAGGCTTGATGCCTACCCGGCTGGGGTCATTTGTGCCCAGTTTTCCTCCTGCCCAGGCAGGGGGTCGGACTTGAAGATCTACAAGTTCCCTTCTAACCCTACTTCTATGATTCAATGACCTAGCTGTTAAAACCAAGACACAGTGCTTGACAAAGATCAATGGATTATTCTCTCTCTCCACTTCGCAGATCTTCAATATGGCCATGTGTTAGCAAAACTGCTAGTAGAGAGATTCCTGATTTGCAGGGAGATGCACCTCAGACAACTGGTAACACAACACTGGTAACACTGCAGACATTGGTAACACTGCGTACTTTCTTTTGAGATGACCTAAAGAACCCCACAGTTATAGACAGAGTAAAACAGTACAGTAAACTAATGGTATAATAATAGACATCATGTACTATGAGACACTTGGGTTGATGACCTCTGTAGGGACACTATGGGCAGGGTGGCATACTTGATGGGTACTAGTCTGGTCAGCCCATGTGAGAGAAATCACTAGTACTGGTTCTGGAGCTGCTCTCATATGATAAAGGAGAGGCATTTCTGCTCCATACTGGAAAGAAGAGATGACCTGGAGAATATGTAAGCATTCCTTGAACGATGTGTCCAACGGTTGGTTGCACGTGGCCTAGCACAAACGCCAGGCGTTGGCCATGTGCCAAAGATGTCCCCAGAGGAGACAGAACTAGTTCAATGAGGGTAACTCTTGGGTCTACAACCAGCACAGTTGTGGACCCAAGAGATTTTTTGTAATGGTTTCTTCCTAATGTGATGGAAGACTTTATCTCCTTCTCTTTTGAAGACAACATTGCTTCTCCTTCCAGAAAATCTCCTAATCTTCAGAACCATACCTACATTCTGCTTGACCATGCTTTTCAGTCTCACCCTGGCACCAATGTCAAAATCCAGTGATGGTGTTGACACTGACCCTGGCAAATAGTGCTGTGATTGGCACCAAGGTGCTCAACCCCCAGTGGTAGTAAGGCCAATGCCTACCTACAAGAGGTCAAAGACTACAAAGTACAGGAAATCTAGAGGCACAACTTAATAGGTGCTAGTGCAAATGACCACTCTGCCAAGGCTGCCTGCATTAATGTGGCTGCTGCCATGGGCAGATGCAGGATTTTCGAAACATCAGTGCAGAAGTGACTTGTGCTGCATCCCAGATCCCAGTCTCCCTCCCACACACACCAGGATGGGCAGGCCCCCTGCAGAAACAGCAGCAGGGGACTTTTTTAGTCCCTCAAGTAGGTAAGACTCTCCACTCCTTCCCCCTCCGTTAACAGTGGCAAGTCCCCTCCCTTTCTCTCCTCTCCTGCCCACCGCTGCTGTCTTCATCTAACCTGGGGCAGGTTGGGTGGCAAGGGGGTGAGGCTCCAGAGGTGCCCCACTGAAGCTGAGCTGCGCATGGAGCCATGCTTGGCTAGAGACAGCAGCAGCAGTAGCAGCTGGGTTCCTTTCTCCCTTGTCTGATCCCCGGCTGGTAGGAAATGCTGGAGGGGTCTGGACGAGGAGCAAGGACCCACCCACTGCTGCTGCTGTCCCTGGCTGAGCCTAGTTCTGCCTGAAGCATGACTGGAGCAGGCAGAAACTGCTCTGGAGCTCCTGCCCCCCTGTTCCTAGGGCAGCTAGAAACTAGCAGCAGTGAGCAGGGGAGTGGGGAGGGGACAGAAGGGCAGGTGCTGCTGTGCATGGAGGGGAAGGGAGGGGAAATCCTTGCTTGCTTCAGGGACTTAAAAAAAAGTCCCTGGCTGCTCTCCTGTGGAGTAGTTAATGGAAAGAGGGCTGCCTCTGCACCACTGCATTCCCCCCAGATCTGCCCCTGGCTGTTGCCAATTGGCAGCATTTCCTCTGCTTTTCCACTGCTGCTTCAGCCCAGGGTCTGGTCTTTTCTGGAGGTAGTACTCATTGAAAACAATCCTTTTCACTGTTTGGAAGTCCTCAGCTGAAGTGGCATGCACAAACTGCTCAGTTAGGAGTCATTTCCATCACACATCCCCCAAGTCCTTGAGGGAATGGGTTTGCACATCACACTTAGCAGGGATGTAACTTCTCCCCAAACAGAACAGGTGTTGCTAAAATCTGCCCGCCAACAGGAGAAGTCTATAACAGACTGGGACGTGTTTAAACCCAGAAGATTAGAGTCTGCCATGGCTGTAGGCATGCAACAGCTAGCCCCAACATATACACAAGTGTTGTTGGGGTGGAGTGGAGTTTTTCTTTATTCAGTAAGGACAATAAATACATTTTATTCATCAAACAGTTTGAAAGAAGTATGTTTAAAATTCAGGAGGAGGAGAAATTGAGGTACTTGTTGTCAGAGGCTGAAATTCCTCATGCCCTTGCATAAGAACCCAAGGAGGTAAATAGTGCATGCCACAGATTTATTTATCTATTTAGAAAAAAAAAAGTCCAATGTCATGTATACCCTATCATGAAATCCACACTAAAACATACCCCTCAAGGCACCATGGCTTTATACTGAAATGGGTATCATCTAACTAGATTTGTACAAGTTACTGAAATGTATATAATTTGCACCTGTAGATCTCCTACACTTGTACTTTGACTTCTTGGAGTTGAGCATTGGCCAAAGCTTCTTAGGCTTGTTAATGTGGCATGCTCTAAAGGTTCTGAGTCAGCGACAGTCCTTTAACTGGTTTAGGCATATTTTGCCCATTATAGTAAGATTTTTCTTCAGTCTTACCAGAAATGAAACAACCTCTGTCAGGCAGTAAGAGAGATATTTCACTTATCATAACTTGCTCATACAGTTCCTACATGTTCCCCTTCCATGCTACCTCTACTCTGACAATAACCTGCAGCACTAGTTCTTTTCCAGTATACATCGCTCGAGGGGCAGTTTGCATTTACCTTGTAAAAATTGAAAAATAAGTAAAGCAACTCTGTAACTTAACTGTTACCTCAGAATCTAAATCTTCACTGTAACTAACTCAAATTGGCATGACTTTGATTTTATTGCTTTTATGCTTTTTTCCAAGCACAGGGAACTCATCAGATATCTCATTGTGTAATTGTTGATCCATAGCATGGACATACTTTCTGTACCCTTGAGGCTTCCTGCTCTGTTTTGCATTTACGACAGACCGTCAGATGGAACCTGCACTCCCTCTCATGGCGATTTCTTTTACCACAGCTAAATTAGGGTTCAACAATCTTGACTGGCTTTAGACCCCTACTCAGTTCCCTGTCAACTCTAGCTGACGTATCCATTAAAACAAAAACAACTATTTTTTCAAATGTGAGACTTGACAGAAAAGCTTTTGATTACTTTTATTATGCAACTCAAACAAGACGGTCTCAAGACATTTAAATTTACTACTGATTGACGAAACTCCATGAGCTTCTTCAGTTCAGCCACGTGCAGGCCAACAGACTGAGAGCTCTTGATTACACTTAAAAAATCAAAATCTCTTCATGATAATGAGGGAGGAGAGGGGAGCTTGGGTGAGGGGGGAAGGTGAAAAGGACAATCCTTTCGTATAGTTCAATTCTCTGCACAATTTTCCTAAAATAGGTACTCAAGTTTGTAATACTTGAGTAGCTTGCATGTGCTAGTATCCATGAAGTCCGTAAGTTTTCTTTAAGACTATAACCTGCAATAAAACTATTTATTTTATATTCCACTGCTTTTCATTTTTATTATTTTCTATAATATAGCCCAATGTTGCCACAATCAGCTCAGTGAACTGTGAACACTAATTATCATCTAGTGTGGAAAATGCTATGCTTCTAAATTATCTAGGAAATGAGCAAGTTGTTTGATAGGATAATCACAGAACATGCATAACAGTAACCTAGAGTACATTCTGTAACCACTGTATGCAGAAGCAGTAACCTCACCTCGCAAGCAGTATTACAACAAATTCATCTACTGAAGCTCAAAAACACCTTGTAGTTTCTAAGCAAGAAATGGAAATGATTTTCCTTTGAAGGGAATAAGCCCCTAGGATACATAACATTATCTGTGGAATAGCAAGTGCAATGTATAGTTAAAATACTATATAAAAATAGTACAAATTCCTAAAAATTACAAACATCTCAGACAGAAAACCTAGCTAATATTAGAAAAGACTTATTCAAATGATTCTGAACAATGAATCTTACAGTAATGCATCCGCATCATATTTATAAGTGGATATAAAAATCCACTACTGTTATACTTTCAGGAGAAGAAACCTGTCTTGTACAAGGAAAAAAATTACTTGAAAAATTTGAAAAGATAAACAAAAGAGATACACTAATAGCTCATGGATGTCTCCAACCTTCTAGCTAATATAATGGCCAAGCAAAAACATTTTAAATTTGCATTTAGATTTTGTGACTTGGTGACTCACTGGAGGGTTTTGTCACATCTTTAAAAAACATTGTATAGTCTTTAAAGGGAACAACCTCACAGGTCTCTGATGTGTCCAATATAACCTTTAAGGAGAAAAGATGACCCAGAGAGCTAACGCTACACTTGTTGTGAAGATGCACCAAGCATAAATACAGTATTTCATAAAACAGAAGTTACATATAAATGCGGCAGAAGAGATAACCAATTTATCCTATCTTATAAACTGTTCCAAACAGACACACATTCCTCCTAACCCACTCCCATTATATACGTATCCTTTGAATGAACAAAGACAAGAAATGGTGTGGAATCAGCCCTCTCTACAAAAGGCATTAATATTACTGGACATGATTGGAAATTGTTAGGTAAGAATAGGATTTTTCAATTTGACAACAGCGATGTGACAAGCAATGTGGAACAGTCACAAGAAAAACATGATTACACATTAGACATTCTTACCAAAAGTTGTCTGACTCTCCTGTTCCTGATGACTCCCTTCTTGGGAAGCCATCTTTTTCTCATAGGCATCAACCCACCATGGCTTGTACTTCAAAACAAGCTGAATAGCTTCATCTTCAAAAAAGTCAGCACTGGAAAAGAAGAGTCACATGCCATTTATGACAATTTAGAGAGAGAAAGAACACCTGACCTGAACACATCAGAAATACAACTGCTTTAAAAACAAACCTGACCCAAATCTCTGCCCTAAAACCAGAAATTTTTTAACCAAAGATCAGATGAAAATCCAAACAACAACCCTATTTTACCATACAGAATCCCCAAAGCCTGGGAAATGGTTGGACACTGAAGCTTTCCTTCAGGTCAACAAATCTGGGCTGCTGCATGAGATCTCGCTGCAAATGTCGTACCAGCTTTAAACTCCCTTTTATAGCAATATTCTTCAGCATAAGTACCTTTGCTAACTACAGTAGTAGCGGTTTTACACAGACACACAGATTTTCAAGTAGTCAACAAAGCCATTTAGGCTGTCTCTCTGGATCACTGTGCAGTGCCATGTAGAGATACCTACATTCGCTCCACATGCGCTAGCAGTGACATGGGACCAATACTGGCACATTAACACAACACTAGACCTGGGCTAAGTAGGTTTGCTGAAACACAGAGTGTAAGAGCCTAGGTACAGCGCTGAACTAGCGTGGCTACGATCCTTCCAGTCTCAAAGCTTGCTTGGTATCTCTGTACAACCTTGGCTAGAGCCAGTAAGCATAACCTAGGACTTTATAGGTCAACCTAAACTCCTTAAATTCCACCAAGAAGCCACTAGGCAGTTATGACTAACTAGGAAGGAAAAAAGTAGAATTGCTAACACTGCTCCCATTCATAGAACCATAGAAAATGAAGGTTTGAAGGGACCTCAGAAGGTCATCCAGTCCAACCCTCTGCTCAAAGCAGAACCAGCTTCAACTAGCTCATCCCAGTCAAGGCTTTGTCAAGATGGATCTTAAAAACCTTCAAGGATGGAGATTCCACCACCTCTCTGGGTAACCTGTTCTAGTGCTTTACTACCCTCCTACTGAGAAATTTTTTCCTAATATCTAACCTCAACTTCCCTTGCTGCAATTGAAACCATTGCTCCTTGTTCTGTCAGTTAGATGCAGAGGGAGGGGAGATGGATGGTCAGCTATACAATCTATGGGGACAATTATGACCCCCACCCGAAAAAGGTAAAAACTGGAGCTCTTTCTTCCTGGAAAAGTAGAAAAGGAGAAGACCCTTTAACTAAGACAAATAACTTCAGAGATTTTCATGCGGGCTGAGGTACAGGGAAGGGCAAAAGTCCTACACACTATTGTTTGGATATATGCTCTAAAAGAGAAAGAAAAAAAAAACCCCACATATTGCATACACAAGATTTCAAAACAAAGAATGCTTCCTGTAATTCCTGTTTCAAACGTTCTACAAACCAAAAATCGAGAATGATTTCCTCCTACAACAGACCGTTACTCTCCCACAAACAAATGACATAACTGAGGTCTATACGTGGAAAAGCAAGGGAGTGTTATTGTAAGGGAGTGCTTTAACAGTTCTTTTTGACACTTATGCTGTCTGCCTATCAATTAATTTTTCTCCCTTCTTTGATATGAAAGGGAAGACTCCATGAAAGATCATTTTTTTCTGCCTTAAGTGGGAGGAAACAGTCTGATAATAGAACATATAGAATTTTGTTTGAAAGGCCAGTCTTTGCAAATTCTCTGCTTATTCCTGAGCAAGCAACTCAAGAAGGAAAACAGGATAGGAGGGAACAGTTTATGACTAGAAATAAAAATGGCCTGAAAATAAGTTACGTGATTTCACTGGGCACTGGCTATTTTGACTGATGTGTACCAATGCTCCTGTTGTGAATTAAACCTGGAGGTTCTGGCTAAAGGGACTTTCCCCTCTGCTCAGGGCCAGGCCAATCACCATATTTGGATTCTGGAAGAAATTTAACCCCACAGTCAGATTGGTACACATCTCTGTAGTGCGGGGCTTTCCCTCTTCCTTGGACCGCTCAAGTATTTAACAACCCTCATTGCAAAAAGACATTAGCCACCACTATCCCTCCAGTTTACCTGTGGCACGTTAAGGTGTTATGTCTTTTGGTTGTGACAGGATTAGTTCGACTAATAGGTTTAACAATGGATTTGTACAGGATGGTTTGAATAGGGATGATCCTGCCTCTGGTAAAGGGCTGAACTAGATGACCTCTAGAGCAGAGGTACCCAAACTTTTTCTTATTGTGTATCCCCTTCCAGATTTACCAGCTGCCCGGGTACCAGCACACATTTTATATTTTAACCACTTCCATGCTGATTATTATTATAATGAAAATGAAATCTGCCATTATACAGTTTCTCCCACATACCTCCCAGAGATGTCTTGCATACTCCCAGGGGTACCTGTACCAGAGTTTGGGAGCCCCTGCTTCAGATGAACCTTCCACCTCTACTTATCTATGATTTTGTGATTCTACAGAAATGCAAGGAAAAACAACTGGAAATCACCTAAAAATGGACCAGATGGGTCGACTGCCATCATTAGTCAAGAGAAAACAAAGCTACAATGTCTACAACCCCAAAATGCTGGCAGGGATTGACTACCCTGCTGCTGGAGAGGTCAACTATGAAACAACATTCTGCACAGTTCGCAGCAGCTCTGCTTGAGTACAGGCTGGCCTTTGAGTTTAATTGAGCAGTAAGGCAAGCCTGAAGCAGATAAGCAATGTCTTGTGTCACTCTTACACTTACGATTATCCTCTGAGGTCTAGAGATATGAGACAAAGAGTCAAGCATATTAAAGTATACCTATTATAGTCAAAAGAGACCTTAAAATCCATCATCTGTTAAATGTCAAAACGAAAATATTTCAACTAATGTACATTCACTTGGTCAGGAGGAATAAATTAGTACTTACAGGTAATGATCAGGATCAAACTTGGCAGCCTCAGCTGCCAGCCGCTTCTGTCTGCGTTCTTTGACAGGAGTTGAGTCTGGATCCTTAAGGTCAATAACATCACTAAGTTCATCCTGGAAAGGCAATAAGAACAAAGAATAAGAAATCCAAGTCACAAAGATGCCACAGTAGGTTACTTCATTAAAAATGAGCGTGTAGGAAGAATGGCAAACAGGCTTACACAAAAGGACTGTAGTTAATTACAGGTAATGTTACCAAGTCTCCCTTCCCCAAAAAAACTATGCATTACGTGACATAATACAGTGCCTTCAGCTTCCACTGAATATTTAGTGATATATGCACAATTAACATAATGCTAATACTGTCTAAGATATTAGCATACAATGAGAAAATAGAGTTTTTGTCTAGTCTCCAATGGCGCTCCCTAAGAATTTTGCAACTCTATTGCTTTTTGAGTTGTAATATCTGCTGCTGACTCCACGTTACAGTACTAGTGAAATATATACATTAATTTAACTATTCTAATTAGATTTGCTTCAACCAACTCTGATCATCTTTCAAGTACAGATCACACTGCTTAATAAATAATGGCCAAATATCTTAGGACTTTTAAACACTATAAATATTTGGGTTATAAAAACAAAAAGCATATTTTTTTCCATTGATGCATCAAACTTCTAATGCTTAATGAAACAAGTCACTGTAACAAGGGTATAGATAAAACACATGCATTATACTTTCTGGAAGCTGAGAAACCAATCCTGCGAATAGTTAAGTATTCTGCTTTCACTGACTTTCACACATTGCAGCTCAGCATTTATGCACAAATTGACACCATTACCGCTTTGAAGTGGCCAATCATTAGTTAATTTGGAATTACAGAGTAGTAACATCCAGCATGAAATAATGGAGCACTAATCTAGGTTTGATATGCACTTCTACAAGAATTCCATGGTAACAGACCAATTAATAAATGTACTATTAAAATATGAAAGCTTTCCCTATGACAGTACTCCTCTCTTAGCCAACACAAGAAAATATAATTCATGCAGTAACCAAGTTACATTGCCCCATCTTTACAATTAGAATTGCTTGAAACAACAAGTATTCCTACCTCTTGATATGTAAATAAACAGAATATTACTCTGTAAATTGCCTACTATTATCCTGATAAAAGCTGTACATTCTAATTATATCTTTACGTAACTCTTATTCTCTATAGGTTGTACATATTCAGCTTACTCCAAGTAGTCTAAAAATAAATAAATCATTTGATATCATCACACAAGCAATGCAAGTTAAGCCTACAATTTAAGGTTCCAATGCAACTTATTCCACAAAGGCAAATTTCAGGGCCAGAACAGAGTTCCACCGACTTCCATGGAGTCTACCCATGCTGGAGGCGCAGAACTTAAATTAGCCACAGTTTCTAGCAGGCACTAATAGAAAGCGAAATCATGTTTCAGTTATTTTTAATCACAGGCAGGATTAGTTAAACAGTGTCCTTTCAGTACATGTCAATCTGAGACAACAAAATAGTTTTAATCTATAATCAATAATCAGGCTATTGTGAAGATCTAACATACATGGATATAGTGAGGCAGTAAATAACTGGTAACACAGGTATAGTAACCTGGATTATCTGGATCTTTTTCCATAGTCTCTATCAGGGGTGTCAAACTCATCTAGCTCCACAGACCCCTTTCCCTTGCATGCCGGATCCACCATACACCTCATCTGTTCCTGTTGCTCTGGGATGTGCGCTACACGATACCCACTCCACCTGGTCTAGGACCCACACTGCATGCAGCGCAGATCATGGCCTGGCTCGAGTGGGCATGCAGCATGGGCTCCCAGACTGGCTGAGATGGGCACCATGTGCAGTGCAGTCCAGCTGTAGCATGGTCCCCAGACTAGCTGGGAGAGGGCATCGTAAGCAATGTGTGGTGCTTGCTCAGGCCAGACTGTGCCATATGCAGTATTTGTTCTGGGATCCATGGCAGCCATGGCACTCCCCCAGCGGGTCCGGAACTGTGCTGCATGCAGCACCCACTCCAGCCAGACTGGAACCAATGATGCATGTAGTGCCTGTGGGTGCCATGGGCAACACAGGTCCCAGACCAACTGGAGCAGGCACTGTCTGTGGTGTGCATCCCTGGCTAGCTAGGGGAGTATCACAGATCCCAGAGTGGCTGGATCAGGTGCTGCATACAGTGCACATCCTATACCCTCTGTAAGGCTGGACCAGTGTGTGCCACACAGGAAACCCAGGGGCAGTACTAGGGCTGAGTAATGGCTGGATGCAGCCTATGGGCCATATCTTTGACACCCCTAGTCTCTACATACACCATAACAAATTAGGTTTCTCAAAATCCACTTCTGAGTTTTTATACGAATTCCATATATTGATTTTAATGACAATCAAGTGCCTGCATTTGGTACTAACTCTGAGAATAACAAAAAACACACCTGCCAGCAAAAAGCCTACTTGTCTATCTTACCATCATTGATTTTAGAGGTATAGTTATGTATTTTAGTTACTTAAATAGCTTTACAGCTCTCACTTCATTTTCAGGTAGAAAAGTACAGCGTTTAGTTAGGTTCCTTATCCACCCGCAAAGATGAAGGTTTGCAACCAATCTAGAGAGACACAGAGCTACGGCAAACAGCTCTGCAGGACCACTGATGAATCCCCGCTAATCAGAGAAGTGGTATCCTTTAAAGTAAAAGCCACAGCAAACAGCTGAGTAGCTCATCCTTAATTTGGCAACCTGCTGAGAATCAAATGGGTTGCAAACCTCTGGGATGTGAAAGATCCAAGTTCTGCTGCACTATTATTTTTCTTTCAGAGAACAGTGTGGCTTGCCCACAGAAACACAGGAAGTTTGTGGAGCAGGAAACTGAACCTGGGTCTCCTTGGTATCCAACCAGTAATCTAAATCAACTGACTCTCCTCTTCAAAATGGAAAACTATAGCCAAGAAACTACACTGCTTGAAAAGTTCAAACAGAAAACTTTAAAAGATTCAAATTCTGCTAAGCACAAAAGTTAAAGAAGAGTGTAATGAGAGATTATTTTAATATTATAATACATACTTGAATTCATACTAGATTGTAATTCTTGCTACAGAGATCAAGAGGGAAAGCAAGAAATTAGCTTAGTGGCATACTGCATTCTACAAACATTTTCTAGAAGAGCACCTTATGGTAATACTTTGTTACCCACAAGCTTTGCTGGGTAAAACTTGTACTGTACTGCTGAAGTTCCCTAAATATGATAAGGTGGGACTGGAAAGTTTTGTAAGCAGTCCCTGCTATACTAGTTTTTATAGTATTCCTGAAGCTCTTCTATTTTCTGGTAAAATTAGATTTTATTCACATTTGGTGGTTGAGATTTTTTCTGGTTTTTCATCTGAGGATGTGAATACTTAAAAAAAGGTCAATCTCAGCAAGTTAGAGGGAATCAAATATTCTTAATAACAAAATCAAACACGAGCTAAAACAAGTAAACTGCATACTCCAAAAGTCACTATCTTCCAACTACTTACACATACAAAGAGAAAATTATTCATGATGTGACTATGAAAAAGGAATTTAGTGAAACAAGCATAACAAAGAATCAAAAGAATAACATTTTTATATTTAATTTTCAAAGCATTGCTTGCCCTCACTTTTAGACAAATCTTTAAAATGTAATATTTGCACTGAATTTAAATGTCAGAAAGCGAGATTATACCAAACACTACCTTAGAAACCTCATAATCATCAAGCCCTTTCAAAGAAAAATCAGACACCTGCAGTCGTTGAAACACTCCTGACTTTAAGTTTCCAAAACCATAGGAGCATTGTAAATGCAAAGTGCTTTCTACAGTCTCCTGGTACGGAGTCTGTTCAATTTCCCAGTCAAATTCTTCTTCTTCCTCCTCCTCATCAGCAAGCTCAGCAGAGTTACCTAGAAATATTTTATATCATAAAAGGAAAAGGATTATAACGTTACAATGTGACTACATTAACAGCTAACGGAAAGATGAATCTATTAAGCATTTTCCTTTTACTATATTCCAACAATGTGAAAATATTTCAGAATAACCAATAATTCCCAGAGAATAAAAAGGAAAAAGAAAGATTAGCAAAAGACATTTAGGATTTCAGGAATAGCAAAAGTTGGCTTTAGCTTAGCTACTGCTACTGTTTTCTTCTCTAAAATGGCATGTATCTGGCTTGACTTAAAGAAAAAAAAAACAACAAATGGTTACTCGAGGGAAAGGTACTTTGTACCCAAAGGTTTATCCAAGATCTTTCCCAACTATACAGCTCTCCAATACAAGATACTACCCAAAAAACTTTGCCTCTGATGAGGATGAAAGCCATTTGTAAAACAAAGGTATAAAACTATCTAAGGGAAAAAAGTAGTAGTGGTATAGATAAATGCAATCTAATACCAAGCGTGGTAGTTAGAGGTCCGAGGTTCAGAGGGTTAAGGAAGGGTACTGTGATACTGAAAGCTTGCCTACATCTATCCCAATCATGCACTTGGTCCCATAAAAGGTATCACCCACAAGAATTCTTGCCTCTTCTAAATATCAGGCATGAAAATATCGAGTCAGATCTAGTTGGCCCAAATATCTGTAACCAAAATACATTCACTTCTTTCTAAGCAACTAAAAGCCTGTGAAGATGAGGACTTGGCTTTAAAAAAAGTGCTAACACCTCCAATTTGAGGATGCAAGATAGTAACTAAAGTGAAGACTGTGGGTTACTGATGGAAGGACTTCTCTTTTTCAGTCATCACCATCTTTCAGACAGTTCTTTCCTGGAAGGAAGATTATAAAAAAACAGCTCTAATTGGGACAGGGACTGGTGTTTTGTGTTTGCACAGCATCTGTTATAGTGAGGTCTGATCCCATTGGGGCCCTCGGATACTGCTATAATAAAGATAATAAGAAAGGTGAGGTAACTTCAGCCACATCTATGGTTCTACGGTCTCCCTACTACAAGCCAATTTGGTTTTAGCCCTGAGTAAACAACAGGTTCAATACACTGAAGATGTCTGATTTTTTAACAGCTAACATACCTGTACACTAATGGCTCTGCAATGTTTTTTGAGAGCTCCCAGACAGTGTATCTATTTTGTTCTTCAGCATCACCATAACTTTTCTTTGCAGGGCTCAGCAGGATTCTACTACATCACTCATCCTGTTGAACAGGTGGAATCCTCAAGGATTACTCAAGGCGGCACCTCTATACAAATGACTCCTAGCTCTAAATCCATTCTGTTTTACCATGGTGGGCCTCAAAAAGAAAATATACCAGTGCCAAGCAAAGCGTGGCATGGTTAAGGGCTAACTAAAAGAAACAGTATCCACAGATGACCAGTAAAAGCCCTAAGGGCAAAGGAAAAAACTGGAAAAAACGATGGTTTGCATTAGTTTCCATGCCCATTGTTTGTTACTCAGGTTTAGAATGTGTTGAGTTTTGCAGGAGCATTGCCACCTCTGGATATCCAAGTGGTTGTTCTCTAGAGAAATGTTATCTTCTGTACTTGGCATCTGAACATTACATTTTCCAAACCTTTGTCAGTTTGATGATGGGTATTGCATTATTGCATTGTGATTCACACTGGATTGAACATAGCTTAAAAATCTTCAGATAGTTCTGTTTGAAAATAATGTAGCTCACTGGTTATTAAGCTATGTGTCAAATAGATGGGTGCTCTATGCCTGATTAAGATCCCTGTCTACACTCTCCTCCCTATGAAAAGAGAGACTAATGAAAAGCAGATATTTCTTTTTATATACAGAGTAAAACCTTGATCCCAAAAATGTCGTTCTGCATTGAATTTTACTCAACGAAATTCCACAATGTGGGGTAAAAACACAAAGTAATATTGCAACTAATTTGATAAGACAACAGATATTCACACAATTAACCATGGATTCTTGTATATGTGATAATGCATTAAGAATGGTTATCTGCAGGGACTGAACCAGGGAACTTCTGGATTTACCAAGCTGCTATTTTTTGAGCTAGAAGACTGGGTAGATTAGTTTGAAGGCAATGGTAGATTAAACCTTTTTGCACCATATAACCACTAGAGGGGAACGAAGATCCACACAGGGTTAGCATGTGTTTAACAAACATCGTAAGTGAAAACAAATGTAACTTGTATAACATTCTTTCTAAAAACCCTATAAGCTTACTAGGCATTTCAGGTGTAGGAAGCTGTTTTGTATACAAATTTATACTTACAAACACATATTCAACTATCAAAACTATTTAAATATGTGGTATCTACCAATGTCTCTACACATACCTATCTCTTCCACTAAAGGTTTTGCTGATCTTGCCTTCTTTGGGGCTAAGAGAGCTGTTAGCATGTCCAAGCCGTCAAAGTACTGTCCAGGAATCTCCTTTGGTAACTGAATTGTAAATATTCCTTGAAAGAAGTCAGAATTTAGTTCAGAAAATTAGTGTGTGAAAAAGGATACAGTGTGTAAAATACGCAAGCATTTCTCATTTAAAAAATAAATACATTGATAGGTTATCTACATATGTGCATGCAACTAATATTTTATTGTGTATTAATCTTTATGCATCTTTCTAGAGTTAACTTGCTGCGTGAAATCCACAAAAATCAAAGATTTAAACTGCTGTTTCTTAAAAAGAACTTAAACACTGCATCACTAATTATCACTTGTAATAACATCTCAACACAGCTCATATACCATGAATAGACAGGTATCTACTTCTCACTTGGTGTCTTTTCTCCTCACAAGTAATTACATCTAAGACTGAAGGAAAATCCACTTAATGTTCTGCTGCACGTTTTATGTCAGTGTAGAAATAACAAGTTTTTGGTGGCAGCAGACCACATCTTAATTAAGGTCCTGGTTTCAAAATCTATTTTGGGGGGCTTTACCTTAAGTGATATTATTTTCGTACAAGACAGTTGACAAGTTAAGCCTTGAGGCGGCAGTTAAGATCCATATCAGCCAGACACCAGTGCAAAGTCATGCTGCTATCAGAGGGAAAGTACACAACATCCTACAAACAATCCAATTACATGTCCTTCACTTCTGTGAATTTTGAACTACTTTATATATATATAATTCTCTGACACTTGAAAATAGCTTATCAAACACTATCATACCGCATGAAATATTATATTAATCTGATGGCCAACAAAACATGTGTGTTACTTTATACAGTTTTAACTTTAATTAGGAGCGCAATCAAATTTTCGAGGTTTGTGTCCACAATGCATCTCTTTAAAGGAAAGTAGCAAGGCCAGTGTGCCATTTCTTTCAGACTACCCAGAAATCTGTCTTGGCAGCTGCCTTTTTTGAGTTACTACAACTTATCAATTTTTAGGTGCCTTGTAGGCTTAATGAACTTGTGATCTTGGTTCACTGGCTTGCATAGTTTCCATCATGTTTGAAGATGTTGTATTATGCTGATACCCCTTTATTAGTAAGATTATGATCTTCATTCTGAAAGAATTTGGTCTTCAGCTTATTAACTTTTGCCATTAAGGATTGTCACTATTCATGGTAGGTCCATCAAGAGCTGGACACCAGGAGGAGTAGCTCCTAACATCAGACAGGGGCAGGACATGGAAACCACCTTTACCTTCCTTTTAACTAGCCTAATGCACTTGCTGTTGCTGCAAACAGATTACACATTCTGTGGAACTGCAATGCAGCAATTTGTAGGGACCTGGTGTTGTATTTTAAGAAAAGACCAATGCTATTAACTAGTACCTTTGTCCGTATTGTAAGATGCCTTTTCCCTTCCATCTTCAACAATTCTTCCAGGAAGAGTCAGTCTACAGACAAAAATGATACATCTTATTGAATTCATTCTCTAATTTAACACCTTATAAGCCCAGAAAACTATAAGGCCCATTCCAAAAGCAGTACAAAGTTTTTAATGCATGACTCCAACTGGTTCGAATGGCCATCATGCCATTACATCTGTTAAATGTGTACAAGATATGACAACTGATGTGATACTGAAGCTTCCATAACACACAGGAAATAAAAAAGTTCATGATTGCAAACCACAGGTTCTCAGTTTTTTTGGAGCGTGGGCAACCTCTGCGTACTGACACTGGTATAGAACCTTCGTGAGAGATTTGCAAAGGCACAAAAAAACTTCCACCTCTTGCAAATGATAATATTCATCATGAAAGAATAATGTTAGCAAAACATTTCATATACTTCAGGTCATTTCAATGTGATTTAACAGCACCATCTGACCAGCCAGCTTATTATCAATAACTTTAGTCTGCAGATCACTGTACAGGAGCTCGAGCTTTAGGATGTTCTGCAAGACCCAGGAAAAAAGCTCATCCCCTTTTCAATATTTTTATTTGATGAAGCTTACGATTTTAAAATCCCTCAGTAACTTACCTGAGAAAGTAAGGTTTGGCATAAAATTTAAAATCCTCCCCATCAAAGTACACATCAAACTCAGAAATTCTGGCATAAGGTACTTTGATTGTTATTGTAAGAAAATCTGGATCTTGGCTAAGTTCAAATGCTGGAGTTATCATGATGAATCTAGCCTGGAATGGCTACAGAATCCTACTGAAAAAGAGAAAGAAATATTATTTTGTAGTTTTCTTTTTTATTATGGTAAATCCTCTGTCTCCTTCAAACCGCTAGGAAACAAGAATATTTCACTTGAAGCAGAATATCTTCCCATGAATAGAACATCTATGGCAACAAAAGAGCAGTTTACATTTTCATTGTCAATTGTAAATACTGCCTGTTTGGTTCCTAATCATCTCTCTTACAACAAAGCAACTAAATGAAGGTAAACATTTAAACTACCAAATGTATTCATTATGTAATGCATCCAGCTGATACTGTTACATTTGAGCCAATTAACTACATTTAATAATCATGTCAATAAAGAAACAAAAAGGAGTTTAATCCATCGTGAAAAGAGAAATTATACTTGACTTCTTTTCACTTCCACAATGCAAAAGAAATCATGAGACCTAATCATGCTATCATTAAATCTTGATACACCTGGGGGGAGGGGGAAGCAGAATCTACTTCATTGGAAGGTGGCAACAAACTGTCCCTAAATACCTGGTTATCCATCAAAAGCAGTCAGATACTTGATCAATACTCAATATTTGCAAACCAAGTCCCATAGGAAGATATATATCCATCACAGTGAACAGAAAATTCATCCATTCCTACTGAACTGCCCCACACATATTGTGGCAGATGTAGGAATAATATAAGGAAGAAATCATTGGAAACCATATAGTACATGGACTATATGGGCTGCCCCATCTCCATTATTTTTAATACCTGGCCTCTGTTACAGCCCTGGGGGCGGCGGGGATCCTGCAGGCTTGGGCCACCTGATGTGTCCTGGCCCCAATGTATTCACCCTTCCCAGTAATGAAATTCTAATAAAGATTCAAATCCGAAAGCCAGAAAAGGTCTTGGTAAATGCCACCTCTCTCAGAAACAGTTGAGAGAGCCATCAACTTAATAAACAGCTCTTCCTTGCTGCAAAGAGCAACAAGTTTGAGCAGGAGCAAAAAAAAAAACCCCAAACACAATCGATCAATCTTTTAGCTTTCTACAACTCCAGTAATCATCTGGATTCCAGGCGCGTGTTAGATGTGTAATCTCCATGAACTAATTTACAGACCACATTTTAGAAAAGGATGTCTCATGATGGAAAATGCGCACACACAAAAATGAACTAAAAAAAAAAAAAACAAAAGTTTTTCATCCGTGTCACAAACCGGCCACCCTGTAACTTTGCTGCGCAGTAATTAGAATCGGCAGTATGACACTACTGCGCAGTAACGGCAGTACGGCTGTAACGTTGCACAGCGGGGATGCAAAGCACCTCTCTCCGCCCACGTGGAGCAGGGTCCAAGATTTAGCACGGGTCCGCACAGGGGGGTGTAGTTTGGTGCGCGTCACTGCCGCGACCATGGGCGACTGGGGGACGCCAGCAACTGCCCCGGCGGCGCCGCCCCCTCACCCGCCGCCGTGACCCGGAAGCGCGCGGAGAGGAGGGGCTGGGGTGCGCACGCGCGGGAACACACGCGAGCCCCGCCCCCTCCCCTTGGTGCAGCCCCGCTTTTGCTTCTGATGGCTTTGGTTGTCGGCGCCGCCCGCGCGCTTCGTGGAGGACGCGGGGCTATTGTTGATCCTCGGGTGCGCTGTCACTCTGCCGCGGATGCGCGGCTGCGGGCGGGCGGGTCGCAAAGGGCCGGGGCAGCCTCCCACGTGCACGCGGGTGGCCCTGGCAGGCGGTGCGGACATAGCTAGCATGTTATACAATGCTCTCACCTTGACACAACATGCTTTCAAACCAATGTATACGGTTTCATAGTTATACAATCATTTTATATTTACCCAGTATCATTTTAACCAATTTATACGGTTTCATACTGATATAATAATTTCATATTTACACTATCATTTTAACCAATGTATACGATGTCATATTTGAACAATAATTTCATATTTACACAATACCATTTTAACCAATGTATACAATGTCATATTCATACAAGAATTTCGTATTTACATAATATAATTTTTAAACCTATGTATGCGGTTTCATGTTTGAACAAATAATTTCATATTGACACAATACCATTTTAACCAATTTATACGGTTTCACATTTGAACAATAATTTCATATGTACCCAATATAATTTTAACCAATTTATATGATTTTATACTTACACAATCATTTCATATTTACACAACATAATTTTAATCAAATTATACAATTTCGTATTTGTACAAAAATTTCGTGTGTCACATTTACACAATATCATTTTTAACCAATTCATACAATTTCATATTGAACCGACTTTTGGGTTTGCCGTCAGCACTGTCTTAGGACAGCTGGCCTCGAAATAAAGAAATGCTTCAGCTTTGATGATGACCCAGCTCTCACTCACTGGCCAGTTACAGTGAGCAATATACAGTAAGTAAGAAGACGTGTTTGCATGCTTATTTGCAGATTTTTTTTCAGTGTACGATAGTTTTTCAGCAAATATGATCATTTTAAGCTCCCAGTACAATAATTTCATATTTAAGACCTGGCAATGCTGCAGCAGAGCCAGTGGCAGAGAAGGGAGAGAAATCGCAATACAGATAGTGCAGAACGTGACGGGGGAACACTCATTGCAAGGGTGGCGGGAAGGACGAGACGGCTCCCAAGACCTGACGGGTGTCAGGACAGGGAAGATCTGCAAGCATAGCCCTTCACGAGGAAAGGATGGACCGCCTCTGCCAGAGATATCCACGCAATGATGCTTCCCTCACCCGCACGATCCCCCTTGAAGTCAACCTGAGCAAGAGGTTTTTAAGACCCAGCTAGACAAAGCCTTGGCTGGGTTGAGATAGCTGGGGACAGTCCTGCTTTGAGCAGGGGCTTGGACGAGATGACCTCCTGAGGTCCTTTCCAGCCTTCATTGTCTATGATTTTATGACCACGGTGGCACAGACAGACCCAGCTCAGAAATGCACCATCCAAAGAGGCCCCTCAAAGAAAGTGCCCAATGCGGGAAAACAACAGCTGACCGCACAACAGGTTCTTTCACACGCTTGATGAACAGCAGGGAGTTGAAAGTCAATTCAGAGGTGTTGCATTTGTAAAGCCTCTCTAGAGACTTGAGGAAAAACATCTTGCCTTTGAAAGCTGGTCTAACTTTATCCTAGTTACAGAGCTGGTCCAACAAAAGAGATCACCCTAAGACATCCTTGCCTCTTGCATCCTTCCTGGACCATCACAGCCACAACATCACTCTTACACTACCGTATCTAGAGGGACATTGTTAAGGTTTTTGCTTCAGAAGTATCATCTGTGTTTTTTCATTATGGTGTATTATGAACATGAAGTGTATTGTATTTTTACTGAAGGGGGGAAAAACCCAGAAGATTGTGGAAGATCAACTACTAGAGGCTTTAAAAAGAAATAAGCCCATTCCTATAGTCCACAGAATGATGAACCTTTTTCTGAAAAATACTATAAACTTGAGGCTTGCTGGAAATCCAGAGCGTGAGAGCAAAAGTCGCCCCATTAGGAGAAGCAATCTTTACAAAGGGAAAGGGGATGGACCAATAATTCAATTTTTATGTATAGTTTTTGTTCACATAGTGGCACTCAACAAGAGAGGCAACACAACACCATTAACTAAAATTAATGCTTTTGAAAAGGATGTCTTAAACCTCTGTATACCTTGATTTTCCTCTGCGATAAAAGGAAGACGTTCCAGTATCTATTCTAGAAGGTTATTAATTAGCTAAAGTTTGCAATACGCTGTAAAGCTGAAAAATATTAAGTATTGTAGTTAGCCACAATGGGCTCTACAAAGATAATAATGGTTTAAGAGTTTTATCAGATTGTTTTGTAAGTAATAGCAAGTAATCTGGCATAATCCTACTGATGATACACATATGCACACATATAGAAACATACTTAGCATGTGCATTAATATGAAAAGGAAAAGATAATAATAGAAGCAGAAACAAGGTTTAGCTTAGTTTAGTTTATCTTAGCTTAACAGAAGTAAAATATTCGGTGCAAACTCCTCAAGGTAATTATGCTGTACTATATGGAGATTTTCCTCATTCTTGATTGAAGTAAGATGTTGCTGTCACAAGTAGGCATTAGGGCTATGGTGCTGAAGGGTGGTATCCAGACCTCAAACATACAATTTAGCCATGAAAAATTTCCACCATATCATTTGCAAATGGTGTAACCTAGCTAAAAATATCAGATCCCTGAAATAGTTACACACATTTACAGAATCATCTTCAGCCTTCTGACTTGAAGAATCTTTGTGTAATTCAATAACTCAAATACTGATCCAGTGATTTTCCTGAGATCAGACTAGAAGGTGCCACTGCACATACTCAAGAAAAAACAAAGTTTTTATACTCTACATTTTCAAAAAAAACCCAGGGAGAAACAAAATAATGTTACTTCTTTTGTATTGGTGCCCTTAGGGATCTCCATTAATCTAATGAACGTTGATCTGAGCTTGTTTTTTAGGTCATTGCTTTAATTTTTTGGGACTGATAGTTTCACTTATGGCCATTAATTGATCATTTTTGTAGTTGTATTTCTTTTCCTGGCCTTTTGCACCCTTTATTCAAATCCCCCATTTTATTTATTCGGATAAGGAAGAGATCCCTGCATCATGCTGGCCTTCTATGTTACTTTTTCAGATGTTTTGCAGAAAGCTAACACCACGTACTAAATAGGTTTCCAGCACCAGACACAGAAAGGTGGCGTTACAGGTTTGGGATCATGTTCCCAAAATGTAATTTACCTCAGTGAGAATAAAATGAGTAAGTGCAATATATTTTCTCATATTTCGAGGTAGATGGAATATCAGACCTGTTCAGCTACGAGTGGCTGAGAGAGAGAGATCATGTTATGCTCTAGCTGTTGGCTACTAAAGAATTTAAGCTGTAATGCTACTACACACATCAAGAAGGGCCTCATCTACGACTCTCATATTCCAGTTCTGTCAAATATAGATTTCCTGGTGGCAGTTAAGTGGAAAAATGTAAGAGCACATCAGAGACTGAAAAGTCACAGTAAGCAGCAGTTTGCATCAAGCTCCGGCCATTCTTAGGCCCCATAGGGTGTGTTGCAGCACAGTATAAATTAGAGCAAACCCCTAAGGCTGCCCTAAGTAAAAAACTTCCAAAACTAGGATTTATCCACCTTTTTGTCACCAGAATATAACGTATTTGTGAGTATAATTTATTTTTAAGTAATTATCTTTTTCAGATATTAAAATTAGGGCTATAGTATGAGAAGTTTCACATACTTGAGCGGGCGACCAGTACAGATTTAGATCGAAGCCATCTGTTTTGAGTCAGTGTCTCCATCTGTAATCATAGCTCTGTGTCACATCATTGCCAGTTCATCATACTCAGCCCAAAAGAAGCTGCATGCGCTGGAGAGAAGTGGGATGAACGTTGCTGATTTAGAGCTGTCTGATGTAACTAGCTGAACTCCCTAGCTGCTGCTTCACCAACCTGATTTTGCTTGAGTATATTAGCCGATAGCACTAACAAGTTAATATTCCCATAGCAGCTTGATTTAAGGTAAATAACTGCAAGCAGATATCTGAATGGCACATCACAATGTATTGTAAAACTTAAGAGAACAAAGATCCCTACAAAAATCCCCTGTGTTTTGCAAATCACACATTTCTTCCTTTGCTTTTATGTAAGCTCTGCCCACAGCTATCTGACATGCAAGTTAGATGTTAGGAATAGATAATATGAAGATATGAGTAAGAGAAATACCTGAATGTTTGCAGTTGATGCCTCTCCTTAGAAAATAAATTTGTCATTCTTTTATGAAGGTATGTAATTTTGGAGAGGAGCACATATGTTTGTATGGCTGTGGTTCTTCTCTATTCCCGTTTACTATTCCTATTTTCTGCTGCTATGAAGTTATTTATATGTCTGCATCTGCTCCAAACCTCAGTTAAATTAAAATGCTCAATTTAGACAGGCGTGTTTGTTCTAGTCTAATTAAATAAGTGCAGTGTCATCCCATTCAGTTCAACAAACTCAGTTCAGTAATATTAGATTTAGGATTCTTAAATTAAGGACATGGTGCTAGACTGTCAACCTCAAACAAGAGCATTTAAATCATATGGAACACAATGCCTCAAAGTCTCACCAACTTAGATATTACGGTAAAAAGAAGCATGGCATATAAACTGGACCAATGTAACATGAACGGTGTTACACCGGTGACTTCTGTGTATTCCTTAAAAATGCTTGAATTCTTTTAAATACTGGTTCCATGCTCCTATTAACCAGAATATTCAAGCTTCTGATCAGGACACCTCCCATACCAGTATTGTGTAATTGTAATACTTTATTAATTGTATTTATTAATTTGCAAGCATCAATGAAGCTGAGCTCTGTGTTGTGCCTCGGTCATAATCC